GCCTCCCAGGTTCACGCCATTCTCCTGCCCCAGCCTCCTGAGTAGCTGGGACTACAGGTGCCCGCCACCACGCCCGGCTAAGTTTTTGTATTTTTAGTAGAGATGGGGTTTCACTGTGTTAGCCAGGAGTGTCTCGATCTCCTGACCTCGTGATCCACCTGCCTCAGCCTCCCAAAGTGCTGGGATTATAAGCGTGAGCCACCACACCCACTCGGCACCTGGACTTCGGGAAAGCCACAGCTAGTCCCAGACCCTCCCCATGAAGCCAGAGCCTTTGGCTTCTCCAGAGCTCAGAGGCGCTACAGGGCTGGCTTTGTAAGTGCTGTGCCCATAGCCAGGCTGGCGGGAAGAGACACAGCTGAAGCAGGTGATGCCCACCATGTGGGGGACAGGGTGGGGTGAGCATAGCACAATGCTGGAGACGTCCAGACCTGGCACCACTTAGAACCTGGAGGCCTGTGTTAGGAGGTGACACAGCACTGAGCACTGGCTGAGCACTGCTAGGCACGGAGCTGGCTTGTCACACTGGTGTGAGTGGGGGGCCGTACCCCTCAGACAGCAGGAGCTCGTGGGCAGCCCCCTGCCACCCTGAGCTTGCCGTCTGCGGGAAAAGGCAGTTTCCATTGCACATGCCAGCAGCACGGCCCTGCCCTTCTGCCTGCTCCCAGACCTGGCTGTGCCACTGTGCCCTGCCCCTTCCCACATCCCCCGGGACCCACCAGCCTCCGCCACCATGGGTGCAGCCAGGACCACCCTGATATGCCCCATCCGTGTGTCTTCTGAAACCCGCACAGAGGGATACAGCTGGCCCCTGCCGGCGGCCTCCCACCCAGGAACACACTCAGGTGAGTTCCCAGGAGCTGTCGGCCGACTCGGGGCAGCTGGCACCACAAGTCCACAGCCCCAGGGCCACCTGACAGCAAGGACACTGTGGCCCCGATGCCTGCCCAGTCCAGAAGGTACTAAGGAAGTCCCATGATCCTTCCTGACCCGTGCATGGTGGGATCACAGGTGTGGGAGCCTAGGGGTCCACTAAACGATCCCCCTCCCATGACCCAGAATGAGCAGAGATGGGGAGGGCCGTGAACCAGGAGCAGCTGGCGGGACGGGGATGCAGAGGCTGGGCAGAAACGGACCTTGGGGAGCCCCCACCCCTCGACCCCTCCTCACCCACGCAGGTGCCCTCCTCCACCCCCGGACCCCTCCTCACCCACGCAGGTGCCCTCCTCCACTCCCGGACCCCTCCTCACCCACGCAGGCGCCCTCCTCCACCCTCGGGCCGCTCCTCACCCACGCAGGCGCCCTCCTCCACCCCCGGACCCCTCCTCACCCACGCAGGCGCCCTCGTCCACCCCCGGGCCGCTCCTCACCCACGCAGGCGCCCTCGTCCACCCCCGGGCCGCTCCTCACCCACGCAGGCGCCCTCGTCCAGCACCCAGCCCGCTTCGCACTCGCCGCAGTCTCTGTTGGTCGGGCCCGAGCACGTCTTGCAGGACTCGTCACAGGCTGGAAGGCAAAGGCGGGCCTGGGTACGAACCCCACTCTCAGGTGCCAGCTTGGGGACAGGGCTTGTTTAAAAGTGAGGAATTTAAGGGGAAAAAGCAACATGGGGTTTTCAGTGCCCATGAATTTAAAATTCTCAGCAAATCAGGACTCCAAGGAATTTTTAATAACCTGGAGAAGGCAGCTATCCGTACTCTGGAGCTGTAGCCTGGTTGGGTGTGCGTGTTCCGGATCCACACGTGCCCCATGCCATGCCAACATCCAAGAGACAGACGGCAAGGGGTGTAAGAACCAGAGAGGCCGGTCCTGACTGGCGATCCACAGGTCTGTCTGCCCAGAATAGCCTAGGGGGCTACCGGCCAACCATGCACTCATGTCCAAGACGTCAACACAGCCAGAGTTTTCCTACATATCAGTGGCAACCAGGGAGAAAACGTCCTTTGGAAAGATGCCACTCATAATGGCCTGCAGGGATTTGACAGGTGCTGCTCTCCGGGCCGGTGCATGGCCCACATGGTACCTCCAGGACCTGTGCACTGTGTGGTCCATCACAACTCAAGGTCGGGGCAGATCTCGAACTAGAGAGGAAGGTGAGTAGCTTCTCCCTTCTGGGGGCTGTTATGGGACAGGAAGCGCCCCAACAACCCCTGCCTCTATCTTCTGACGTTTTAATTCATCCCTCTGGGCCCCCGAAGCTTCCCTGGACATCCGGGGTTAGGATATCAGCAGGCCCCTGTTCCCATCTAGGCAGGCAGCTCCAGCAAGCGGCTGTTGTCATCCTGCCTCACCCCGGGGCCGCCCCAGGCGTAGCCCGTACCTGTGCAGACGCTGTGGGTCTCGTTCCGGAGCGAGCTGAAGTAGCCGTCCATGCAGTCAGTGCACAGTGGGCCCTGGTACCCCACGTGGCACCGGCAGGACCCGTCACCCTGTCTGCTGCCGTCTCCGCTGCAGTGGCCATTCCCGCTGCAGGGCCTCTGGGACCCACCCTGGCACGCTTTGGGGGACACAAAACCATGCTCAGAGCACACCTGGCGGTGACTGGTGGGGTGTTCTCACACAGACAGAACACACCGCACCCAAACCCTGTACGATTCTGAGGACGTACATGAGCCTGCAGGCTTGGAGTGGGTGTTGGGGGAAACTGATTTCCTGGGGTCTGCAGGGCTGGCGGTGGATGGCCTGAGTGGAGCAAGCCACAGGCTCCTGGACTTCACTACGGCCACGTGCTGCATGATGTTTAGGTCAACAAGGGACCCTGCATGGCACAGCTGTCCCCTAAGATGATAATAAAGCTGAGCAGCTCCTATTGCCTAGTGACATCACGATACGCCTTATTACCTGTTCTATGTTTAGATGTATTCAGGTGACACATTCTTACATGTCGCAATGGCCCACAGTACTTAGGACCCTCACGTGCCACGCAGGTGTACGGCCTGGGAGCAGCAGGCCCTGCCAGGCAGCCTAGGTGCGGAGCGGCTGCACCACCTAGGCGTGTGGAGTGCACTCTGCCATGTTGGCACCATGACAAAGTCGCCTAATGATGCATTTCTCAGGACATGCCTGGTCGTTACGCATGACTGCACTTTGTGCGGCTTTGGGCAGCCTCAGCTGAAATATGGTGATGGGGACACCGATGCATCAGGGGCGGAGACTGCAGGGAGAGTGGGAACATCAGCTGCAGCCTCCAGTGTTCGCCAGGGATAGACGCAGAGGCTGGCAGGAGGCTGACGGGGGGCAGGTCGGGGGTCTAAACCTGAAACTTCTGCTACCTGATCCTGCTTGACCACGTGATTGCCTTTTATAAACGTTAAACTGTGGCTTCAGTTTCTGCACACTTCTTCACAGAAGAGCCCTGTCCTGCAGCACCCATTAAGGCTCAAGGCCGTGCACCCAGCCTGATAGACATCTACTGCCCTGGGCTCTCTGCAATGGCAGCCACAGAAGCCGTGGTGTGGTCCCCTCTGTGCACACAGGGAGAAGCCCCTGGACAGGTCAGTCAGGACAGACTCTCAGGTGAGTGGACTCAGTTGTGAACAACCTGAGTCAGTGAACCCCTGAGTTAACAGCACAGCTGGGATGACATACTCAGAGTTTTACACTAAAGCGTGAGGTGAGTGGTGAGGCTGCAGAGGGAGGGTGCGAAGTGCTCCGAGTTGGGTTGGGGATGGGGGAGGCAGCCGTCTGGCAGGGTCCCAGACCCTACAGAAAGCTGATGTCCCCCAGGTCCCCTCTGTGCTTTCATCCCCCAAGAATTGTGAGAGGAAGAGGGGAAGTGACGTAGGAGATGGGATTTCCCTAAGCAGAAACGCACCGAGACAGTCAGGACCGTAGGTTCCTGGAGAGCAGCACAGTTTCAGCGTCTTCACACAAAACCACTCGAATAAGTCAGGATACTCGTTCTTCCTGAGGATGGAGGAAAACATTCACTGAATCCCACCAGACACGGCTCTTTAAAACAAACATGCAGCTGAACACAACATAGGCTCTAGAGTATTGCAAGGTCCAGGAAACAAGAGTCTAGGTGTGGACAGAATCTTCTCGTTAATTTCCTGGTTTTGATCACTGACCCTGGTGATAAAGAACAGTAATGCAGGGGTAAGGTGGGTGCGAGGCAGGTGGGAGCTCCATACTGTTCCCGTATCTTTCTAAGTCTGAGGTTATTTCAAATTCTAAGTTGGAAAATAAAAAGTATCTTCTAAGAGGTTTTAAGGCACTCACAGCTGCAGCCACCAGGCCTCCAGGTGTTCCTCCTGTGCCTCCAGCATCTGGTTGCATTCGAAGTCGCTGCTCTCGCACAGCCCCTCCAGAATCTCCAGCAGGCGAATCTCGCTGAAACACAGGCCCACGCGGGCCCACGGTCAGCGCCACAAGCCAGTGAAGAAAAATCCGAACCCACACACCAGCCCGGGTGCAGGGGAGGGGGCCGGGATTCCAGGCAGAGAGAGTAAGGGGACCCCACTGTCAGGGGGCCAGGAGCGGTTCACACAAGTGGGGCTGGTGTTCCAGTTTACATTTTAAAAAGCCACTGTCTGTTGAGAGGGTAGGGACCAGAGCAGAAGCTGGAAGGCCAGAGAGGATCCAGCCATTAGTCCTCAGGCAGAAGCCAAGGCAACTCAGACAGGTGACTGGTGCCTCGGGGGCTGTTCTGTCTCCCTGTTATTAACACAGGGACCAAAGGCAGGACACGGCTTCCCAGGACAGGGTCAGGCCAAGACCCACAGGGCTGCTCCAGAGCGCCCACCTGGACTCATACTTGGACAGCGTCTTTTCCTCCCAAGCCGTGTTCCCGCCGCCAAAGTTCTTCTTTGCGGTGTCCACCAACCCCTGCGAGGAGACAGTGCCCATAGGGCTTAGTACCACCTGACGCCCCGCCCAGGGTGAGGGCGACCCCAGGTCGAGGGTGAGGGGACCCCAGGCCCACGGTGGGGTCAACCCTGGGTCCACGGCGGGGGTGGATCCTGGGTCGAGGGTGAGGGGGACTCCAGGACTACGGAGTGGCGACTCTGGATCGACGGTGGAGGGACCCCAGGCCCACGGTGGGGGCGACCCCAGATCCAGGGTGAGGGGGACCCTAGGTCTAGGGTGAGGGGGACTTCGAATCCAGGGTGAGGGCGACCCTGGCTCCAGGGTGAGGGGGACCCCGGGCTCAAGGTGGGGCAACCCCGGATCCAGGGTGAGGTGAACCCCGGGCCCACGGTGGACGACCCCGCCCGGCCCCTGCCCACCTGGTTAAACTTGTCCACCAGCCCCCGGCACCGCTGGCAGGGCGTCGGCTT